TTTCATGTCCTCTATGCTCTAACTACGAAAATATTTGATTTACAAATAAGGAATCCTACTTCGCGGAATTTCATTTATCACGGTAGGGTCTAGAACTGATTAACCGCGATAAACGAGGGTTCACTGTACATTGTTTGACCCTTGGGGTCCTAGGTAGTGTCATCAGACACTGCCCCAATTCTTGCTTGGGTTCCTCTTTTGTTACCAGACAAAGACCAGAGACTATTGTGTGAGTTTTGTGTTGCTGCTGTACCCAACCACTACAAATGAATTGGCTTAACACCTTACAGTGGGGTTGTCTCATAGTTCCGGAGGTCAGAAGTTTGAATTCAATGGCACTGGGTGAAAGTCAGGGTGTTGGCAGAACCAGTTCCTTGCACGTGGGTTTGGATTTATGGCAGGCCTAGCCCCGTGGGCCTCTCATAGTGTCCCATGCCAGAGCAAACTGTATTCCCCGTACCATTGACCTTGCCTCCGAACCCGTAGTTTTCCGGCACTGAAGCAGGTTGCACAGTGGGGTGAGGGGTGGGGCTGGGTGAGAACTAGTTTCTCCAGGAGGCTCTGAAGGGAGAATCTGTGTCTTTGTCTTTCCAGCTTTTGAAGGTTGGTCAAATTCCTTGGCTCATGATCCTATCACTCTGATAGCTGCTTACATCGTCATAGCCTCTTTTCTGATTCTGTATTTCTTGTCTCTCCGCCTCCCCCCACTTTAAAATGGCCCTTGTGGTTACATTGGGCCCATCTAGATAAAACAGGACAATCTCCTTTGCTTAAAATAACCTGATTGTGGACTTTTATTGTCTCTTCAAATCACCCGTAGAATTAAGGTTAGTGTTTGATAGATAACAGGGAACTGTCACCTAGCCCTAAAGGTAGCGTCACATTTACGTAATACAATCAGGGATCAGCAAAGGTTAGTCAGGCGTTGTCAAATTAGTTCCAAACTGGGCCTTTCTCCTTGATAGGGAAAGGATTAAAAGACCATTAAAAACGTGACACTCTCAATGTTTAATGAAGCATCGGTGCACACACACAAATTACCACACCCTGACAGCCCTCGATCTAAGCTTTCCTCTCTCAAAGGGCAAAACCCTTCATTGTACTGTGTCAGTCTGGGTTATCTGGAGCAAATCCAGGGATACAGATATACAGTCCGATGCCCAGTCTACGAGTCCGATGCTAGCCGGAGCTCTCTTCCGACGCACGTAGCGGAAAGCTGATGGCACAGAACGGTCAAGGGGGATGCAGGGAGACGACAGGCCAATGGGTGTAGGGTCATGGGGATCCAAGGTTGGTGGGAACATGGCAGGGTGCCAAGAGCTCAGAGGTTGGCTCCCAAGGTCAATGGCCCACCTAGGTGGAGGGATTGTGGGCCAGGTCACTTGAGCAATATATAGTAAGTATTCATTTGCCAAACTTGTCATGATATCATTACCAACAAATATTTAGGATTCCATATCTAATATCTAGGAGCCCCAGTGACGTCATGGTATCATTGGGTTGCTAATAGCAAAGCCAGCAGTTCAAAACTACTCCAAGGGAGAAAGATGGGCTTTCTACTCCATTAAAGAGTTACAGTTTCAGAAACCCACAAGGATGGTTCTACCCTGTCCTGTGGGGTTTTTTTGAGTCAGTGGGAGTGAGTTTGAGTTTCAACCTCATATCTACAATGGCAAAGTTCCTGTATGGCACAGATGATTTGTGCCAAACTACTAACCAAAAGTTTAGTGTGTAAACTCACCCAATAAAGCCATGGAAGACAATTCTAGCAACCTGCATAAGGATTACAGCCAAGAGTACTTCTCCA